GACAGAAAGGCGGTTCTTACCAGGCTCGGTGAGCATGCCTCGGACCCAAGAACCTGCTACCACAGATAACCCAGGCAAGAGCACACCCCATAAACGCACCTTCTCGTGCCACTGCAGCAGCACAGCGCTGCTGTTGTCAGAGGGGCTCTCAAAGCCTTTGTAGATGTACTTCATTAGGAGGTCGACACCGTTCTTGTCCAGCGACTGCACCGCCTTCTCAATATCGTTGGCTTTGAAAGAGATGAGGACCTTCAGGACAATACTTTCCGCACGATCCTGTCAACAAATAAGGAAGGCAGAGATACATTCATTCTTGTATAAGGTGGGTTCAAATATTATTCATCTCTCCAACAAACAAAACTAGATTTTTTTAAACAATTCTAAAATCTGTTTGAATAGGGCAGTTTGTGCACAAATCTTGTGACAATACTGTATAACAGATACGTCCTCCCAACGATAAACAGCATAAAAGGGTTTAACGCGTTTGTCCTGTTTTAGGTTTTCTGCCTCTCTGCTTGCAATTCTCCACCTATTAAATGAGGTTATGGCTAAATACTAAATTTTTGTATCGAAACTCAAGATCTGGAAAGTTCCAAAAGAATTATAAGAATTAAGTACTTGCCTGGCCTCCCTTGCCACCAGAGCCTTTTCTATGCCTTTGTACTGTTTAATGAGATACAACTATTGTATACCATGGAAATGCCATTGGCCAGCCTGGAAGAGGTCACTGCGGGAAGCCACACGTTTTCAAAACAGTCAACTTGTGTCCCGGGCACACAGGATGCAAACTGGCAGCATTAATATTTTGCATTAATAACCGTTTGCAAGTTGATCTGGATGTCATTTCAGGCCCAGGAATGTGTGTGGCATGATTACAGCGGCAGATTAGCCATGTAATCAGCAAAAAGCAGCTCCTCCTGTTCATCCATCACTAACTGAGGGAGGATAAAAGAAAAAGGTCTTGGGTTTGTTGGACTTTTGAGTAATTCCATTATACAAATACTTCAAGCAGCTTCCTCCTACAGAAATTATGGGTTAGTTTTCTTGTTCAATTAAATATCCCATAGCCGCTTGGCTTAGCAAGACCTCACATGAAGAACTGTAAGTAAAACCATAAAAGTTCCATGAGATCAACTAAAAATGAAGCCAAACATTAAAATTCAGTCACTCTGCCCTCTTCAATTCCACTGCCTTCACAGTGTATTCTTAAATCCATCAATACAGAGCTAATGGAAACAAGTCATTCATGTGAGGACAAAGCTGTTCAATCTCTTATACAGCACTATCTGTAACAAACAGCTGGTTCTCAAAACCCTGTGAAACCCATCAGGAAAGAGCTGGGGCTAGGTGAAAAAATCTCCACCAGTGGCCTGGTAAGGACAGCCTGGTGCCAGAGCAGCACAGAAACATGCCCGTGGGACTCTCATCAAGCAGGGCGAACAGACCTCTGCAGGCGCTCACCATCTGGGCAGTTCCACATCTTATCTGCCTCGTCTCACTGCTGCAATCATAAGCCATTCAAGGTTTATTCTGGGGAGATTCAGAAATACATGCACGCAGCGGGCTCCTATATTCTGTCACAGGGGGACTGCTTGCGTTTTCTGAGGTTTTAATGGCTTAATTTTGATTGGATGCGATAACCATCAGTTCTTCCTTTTTTGTAGGTTCACGGTCTGGCTGCGCTAGCAGAGTTTCATTAGTCAGAGGTGACGACTACAGTTGTGGTTCCTTGATCATTCAGGACCAACTACATCTATGTGCTGCCAGGTCTGGATCAGACATGGGCACCTGGTGATGTGTGGAGTTAGCCAGGGCACACAATATACAACCAAGGCATGTAGGAGAACACACAAAACCTGATCTAGCACTAAGTTAAAGGTACGTGGACAGATGACATCTGAGCTACGGTATTTTGAACAAGATTAAAACACCAGAGGTCATGGATGTTTCAGCATCGGGAATACCCTAAAACCAGCTTCCTTGGCTTCCTCAAAGTACAGCTGGCAGGGTTGGTGGGGTAGGGGTTATAGAAACAGGAAAGGATTTTTAAGGAGTAACCCACGAGTGAGTGAGTTACTATTTCACCTTCACTGCCTGGTTCTTTGTGTTGATAGGAGGGTTCTTCAGAGCTGCCTGTAGTGCTGCCATCATGTTCCCTGTGCCAGATGGTTAAGGACCAGACACCAAATATTTGGAAATCAACAGAACCAGCTCCAGGACAGTGATACTTGTAGCTGGCTTGTGCATGACTGAAAATACTTAAGGTTCAGTGGATGCAACGATTCCCTCAACAGATAGCACAGATTCAAGTGTAAGGTAGCAATTATTAGGCCATCTGAGGAAGGAGCAGCACCAACAAGAAGCTGTACAGTTCCAGTATTGGAGAATACTTCTTAGGCCCTTCGTTGAATGAGGATCCAAGTAAAAGAAAGTATTCTCCACCACTTCTCCAATTTGTAGCCCTCAAGAACAGGCCTCAGCTTGGCACATCCACCTCCAACAGCTGCCGGGACAGCGACCCGGGGGCGGCCGGTGGGAAGAGCTACTCCACGAGCCAGCCAGCCAGGGAAGCCGGCAGTAGGAGCGGGCACACGGAGCTCTCCTTTCCGCCACAGGAAACCCCCTTCCTCCATTCCTCTTGCCGCTTTCCCCCGCCCCCCCATAAGACACCTCCCAGACACCGCTGCCTCTGCCGTGAGGGGGAGGAAGCGGGGCCGCCCTCCTCCTGTCAGCCCCCGGCCCCTTCCCCCCGCCAGCCCCGGCCCCCCCTCAGGACAGGGCC